AAATTTTATTCTTTATTTAAATATTGATAGAGAGTTTTTCAGTTAAGATTAGTTATAATTTTCATTGCTGCAACAATAAACACATCAACGTCGCGTCAGCTGGTATATATTATTTTAATTTCCACCGCGAGATACATTAAAAGTATCTTCACTTTGCCATATGAAACTCCTTACATTATTTTATCGATAGTCTACAAAAAATCCCATCGAATTCTATATTTCACGGTTTCCCGAACATCGAACCTCGCGTCAGAGACGAGAAGACGATCGTCGGAAGTGCCCTGCGTTGAGGAGAACCGCCGTAAACGTGATCGCGCGGGGGTGGTCGCGTGCCAGTCGCGTCCGGTCTGGCATGCCAGGCTCGCCGAAAATATTCTCTCTTAGAAAAACCAATCGGCCGGAAGCGAGCCGATAGCCAAGGAGCCGAAGGTCGAAGGGCAACGGCGAAACGGTCTCGGGGGAATGGGCAAAGGCGACGATGAAAGGGCCGTTGGAATCCGCCGACAGTGGGGTATCGCCATCGAAGAACCTAATTGATATGAGTAGATAAGACGCTGACGATCGCGCCGGATAAGAAACGAGCCGTGAATTCGAATCTCCCCACGAAATTCCACGCCTCGTTCGCAGCAATTCCGCTCATCGGCGGAGCCTTTCTACTCGTATTCCGTCATCTCTTCTGAGCACGTCATTTGGTATCACCGGGAATGTCATAGAATTTTATTGGACGTGGACTTAAGCCGTTGATGACGTCAAGTGGGCATTTATGAGAAATAATGGGTTCTCGTTGTAATTCTCCATTTAATACAATATATCCAAACAGTATTTTAAAAACTTTAGTTAATACATAGTATATGTATTAACATATACATAGTATATGTATTATATATCGTTTTTTATTTGAAAGAATTAATTCCGCTGTCTTTTTCCTATATATACATTTGACATATTGAATTCAAATAAGTTTATACGTTTTAATATAATTTTGACTGAATATATTTTCTAATGCGTATTACATAAAATAAAATACTTAACAAAGAAGTAAAATTACGAAAATTGTGATATCTAAGAACATCGCGGACAATCCACATCGCGTTTTAAACATGAAATAAAAGTAAATCGAATAAGAGGATTAAATGCTGAGCGTTCCGAGTGCACCCTCATCTGTTTACGCCACTGCGTCTACCGTTTTATCCGAAAGCGTGCAGAAGATAAGGTACTAGGGCCATAAATTCGGTGCGTTCAATCCAGAGAGGGTAGGAGGATAAACGTGCACGCGAGCGAGGGGATGAAGAGCGGCCGAGGGTAGGAGGAATGAGGAAGAGGACAGGGTCGGCACACACTCTCTCCGCGGCGAATTTCTTCGCGGATTAATATTTGCGGCGGCGGCTGCGGGCGACGGGTTCCTGCAAGACGTAAAGGGAGGTTTTCCTCGCCAGAGACCCAGGAGATGGAACAAATAACGAACGCGACGTCGAGGACAAATGGGGAGGATCCATCCCCGGACTAACCGGGGTAACACGACACCCCCACGCGAAAACCTTTGGCGGTTCTTGAAGAAAAGATAAAAAAAATGTATTCTTACCGAAAGCGCGACTTTATTCGTCGCGACTGAATAGGAATCCCCCCGAATAATCTGTCGGGAGTAGTCAGAGAGAGTGTGCAAAATGCAAAATGATGCGAGAAGACGCGATAAAAATGTCATTTCACAAAGATACATATATCTATGTATGTATACATATAATAGAATTTAATTTCCTCGGATTCTCCTCCTATAAATTCGAAAATCTTTGTTGAAGACGGTGGGTCCCGATATCATTTCTTTCATAAAAGTTATTCAGAATTATCTGATTTGAAGTCTTAATTACGTTCTATTTGTAGAATATATGATATTTCCAAGATATCTTCCATTCTTTCTTCTATTTCACACATATCTCTTGAATTTATCTATCGGATTTTCAAGAATTAAGTTGACAATTTTTAGTTACAAAAAGACGATGACTATCGATGCCCGTTCATCGTGGAGAAATCGATGACGTTATGTCAATCGAATGATCGATCGAATCGTTACACACATAGTTTATTTTTTAATAAATCGCGATATATCCGAACTTTCCGCAGCGCACATTTCCGCGACACCTGTCAAGTACGTTCCATTAAAAATGGTGGATTTAGGTGGGTCGCGTCTTTGCTTGGCAGATATTTAACCGCAACGTCGCGCAACATCGATACCGAAATCGCGCTGTCGCGATCTCGCGATGATATTTCTCTTGAGAGATATATTTAAAGCTCATAGAATTACTTATACCGTCAGAAATATTCCGTCGCTCCAAGATAATTTAATTATATACTATTTCTAATAAATATTTTATTGCCCTCTGATTTTCATTCAATAACAAAGAGTAGAACAGAATAAATATATAGTTTGTTTTCCAATTATTGCTTCTGACAGTTGAGTTAGCAGTTAATCGCTGTAATCTCTGAAAAAAAAAAAACAAATGGAGAATTATCAAAATTTGTACGCATGCAACGTTGTGAAGAGACCTTTTGATAGCCGGGTACCAAAGGGACATCGACGAGTCCGCCACTGCGGAAGGTCGAGTCTGTGCTATGGGATTCTGTGGAAGGTACGCGCGAAATCAGGATCGGGCGGAGAATGAAAACAGGAAGGAGACAGCAAATCGACCGACCCTCTTCCGCCTGCTCCTTTTGTTTTGTCTTTGACATACGCTCCGGTGGTACCACGTCCTCTCCTCTTCCGGAGTCGAATCTATTCGAGCGTGAGGGATGCGACTGACAGCTGGAATTGTTATATCTCGGCGAGCCAGACGGACACCCGCTCGTAGTTCATCGATCTTCGACCGGTCGACGCCGCCGCCACCGCCGCCGCCGCCGTCGCTGCCGTCGTCCGCGCGATGGATTGGTTCCTACCTTCGTTAAAATTAATCAAGCGAAGCGCCGGTGCGATTGCCTTTGCCTACCGCCCGCAACAATTCGCAGTATATTACTTGGATATGCATACCGCACGCGCGTTCGTTGGATGATGTACCGAATGTCCTTGGCAGGAATCTGTTTGAATTCGCGATCGATCAATCCTGATGATAAGAAGTGAAGCGATATGATTCACCGCCATATTGCGAAATTATGGAATTTATTAGGTAAATAAATTTATAATTATCAGATAAAAATTCGATGATAAAAAATGGACTGGGAAAACAAAAATGATGCAGAATATACGCACGCGTATAAAATTATAGGATCTTAATAAAATTGATATTAAAAAATGTTTTATCACTAGTACGTTATCACGTTTTTTATTTAGCGTGCTATTTATCATTCTACAAATTGAAATTAAAAATTGTTTGCACTTAAATAAATAATTGTAATAAAAATATAGACGTTTATTATGTAAATACTCAATTTGAATCTTTTGTTGAATTCTGAATGCTTGTTGATATATTCGAACAATGAAGCTTATTGTGTTTGTGCCGCGAAGAAAATCACTCGCAAAAAAAATTTTAGAGACGAAAGTTGTCTCTTTCTCATTCCAATCTTTTATATATATTTTATTTACTTATATATTATATAAATTATATAGCTAGATATAATTATATAAAAAATATATAATTATGTATATATTCAAATTCATTTATATTTATTATATTGCAAGGAGAGGAATTATGCAATTAATTAATTATTCCATATAGCTATAATCATTTATTCAGTTTTATATTTTAATATTTATCTATACTACAAAAATAATATCCAAAAATTATATTTCAAATTCAAAGCTGATGGCATTTTTTTAAGTTAAGAAATATGTATAACATACTTACAGGATGCAAAGATACGAAAAATCTCTGTGTATATATCTTTTTTTAAAGATTTTTCAATATATCCGATATTTAATGAAAGCTCTTGTATTAAGATCTTGTAGTAAGCTCTCGTTGACATGAAACGTTTCCGATATACGCACAATCGAGTTCACAGCAGTGATTCGCCCCAGGGCATGCTGCCTTTAATCTTCGACTTCGACCGGGCGGTACTCGGCCACGCAACAACGGTTCATCTCGGATTCCCTAATAAATGAGTTTTTTATCGAGTTTTCGCTCGACCGAGCCGAATCGACGCGCACAACCCCGTCCGCTCGTATATATCAGAAACTTATATACCGAGACTCATTCAAACTCTCGTATCGCCATCCATCCGTCTTTCTGACGACAGAAGACACGGAGGCACGTACATACATCGACACGTATAAGAACACATACGACCCCGACCTTGGCAATAAATTTATATTCCAACTTCACCCTTCTTATCTTTATCTTTATTTTAATTAAAATATTACGCCGACATTTTTCCAACCTGTCGCCAGATCAGACGGCCTTCACACCAAGAGTTAGATGCTAATTAGGCTTGATAAGAAATGGAAGGAGATTACCGAGGAAAAATATAATATTAATTCATTAAGGATTTAGGGTGGCTATTTGCGAGGGCGGTCGATTGTAGGATCAACAGGACCTATGTTCCATCTTGACTCTCATCTCACGTATACCTGGATTTTATAAAAGGTTGATTGGATTTACATGTTAAAGTAAAGCTGCCTCTCAACAGCTGATTAAATGAAAAGGGTCTTCAACAATTTTATCACTACTTGATATAACAATAAACATTATTCTTTATTTCTTTTATATACACACACACACACAAACACACACACACACACAACATCGTATAATTTTAAAAGATTAAAAAACACATTTGAGTTTCTAGAAAAACAACTTTTATGTACATTTTCTTAAGAAGGAAGCCTGGTGTAAATCGCTAAGAAAAAATTGTACAGAATTTTTTTGAAGAAATTATACAACGGATGTTTTTAAAGATTTTTTATTTTATTATATATTTTAATAGACCAATCGTAATTTTTTAAAGGGTCGCCATTTAAAAAAATGCTGTAAATCAATTATTTTTAACAATAAAATTTGATATTTTTAAAAATATATAATAAGGAAAATTTAAAAAATTGAATTGTTTCTTCAAAAAATTCCGTAAAATTACCTTTTCTTTTTTTAACGATTTATGCCAGGTTTCCCCCGTTAAATCGCTAACTGTACATGGGATTATTTATACTTTAATCAAGATTCCGTTTGCTTTAACATATGATCGAGTTCTTGTAGAATTTGCGTCATACGCTTTACTAAAGTAAATCCAGACATTGTGTCTGGTCGTAACGTTCGAATGTAGCACTGCTTGTACAGATTTGCGAGTGTCTCATGCCTGAAATTTCATTAAAAAAACAAGACGTATTAAAATAATGAAAAATGTGATTCAATCTTTGGAATTATTATATAATGAAATTAAAAGCAACGTACTCTTTCTTATTGTGCACGGGACTTTTGCTCAGAAACAGCTTGGTTAACGATCGTAGAAGAAACTGTAATCTCTGTTCCAACAGAACTATGAGGTTTTCTTCGTCATCCATTAACTTTTGTTCTTCGGCCACTTTCTCACATTCAGCATTATCATCCTCTGTTTTATTATCGATTGCCTTCTGTCTCGTTGCATTACCTCGTTCGCATAGTATTTCCATAATAGTTATACATTGTAATATTATTTCCAGGCCATTTTGATACGCTTTTAGCTTACTATTGAAAGTAGTACCGTCTGAAAAATCAAACGCAAAAATTCTGTTACGGCGACAGAAAATTTGAGGGTCGAGAGAGAAGTGATAACTTTTTAAAACTTAAAGACGTACTACGCGCTTGGTATTCCGCCAGGGCGACCCTTTCCATTTGAACCGTCAAATATTCCGTGCTCTGCTCTAACGAGAGCAACAGCTTCGCCGCTTTATCATAATACAGTTTGCACAGCTGCAAACTCGTCTTTTTCTTGCCGCTATCCGTATCCGACTCGATTTCTCTGTACACGCGATGGTATAACGAAGCCAATCGATGCTGAATGGTCGCAGCGCGGAATTGATAAACCGGCTGACGCGGTCCCGGCGTATCTATATCGCAATATTTCAGTGCCTTCTGCAGAGTGTCTACCACTTCTCTCTCCAATTCTTCCTCACTCTGTAATAAAAAATTAAGAAAGAATTCGTTAATGCATTTATTTATTAATTTATTATTAAATTTTTGATGGGAAAAATTTATCGATCTATTTACGTAACGATAAAAAATTACACACTAAGTTAGCTTAAGTTTACTGTACTTTATATTCCGTCGTAGGATAATCCTGCAATAGTGAGGCTTTCGTGTATAACGTTGTCGAGAAGTCCCACATGACCGTGTCCCATATTGCCGCATTCGTTTTCCTATCGCCCAAAACCTGCAGAGCCTTCTGATAGCTCACAAGCGCCTTGTTGTAAAAATGACGCTCCTGCGTATTTTGTTTGCCGTGCATGTGTGCGCAGAGCCGCATAAGTCGACCGGTATTGGAGTGCAAAAGTGCTAAATTCGCCTCATCGTGAACAGTCTCGAAAGCTTTAACGCCAGATTCCAAGTGAGTCAACGAACACGTTAAAAGCGTAGTTACATCCGGTAAATTTATTAACTCGTCCGTTTCGTTTTCTTGCTGATATCGAGCTACAAAAAAAATTATTTATAATTTCTTGATTAATAAACGACAAGTACTTGTTATTCTCTATTGAAATACGTGAAGCTTACGTACAGCCCGCTTGATTCATGTAAAGAACACCCAACTCGTTGTGAATATTCCCTAATCGCCTCAACAAGTTATTCTTGTCCACGTCCATCGACTCCAACGACAGAGCTTTTTCATAACATTTATACGACGAAACCAATGTAGATTCTAAACTGTCTAATCCCTTCGGCAATAATTCAGCACCATCTGTAATAAAATAATGGAATCGCATTAGAATGAGTGTTCGTTCATATATTATTTTCATTTCTGAGTGCGTTTCGATATTTACTCATATCCAGATCCTCCATACTGAATAGTTCTTCAACTACTTTCTCCTCCATTTCGTTCTTCGTGTTGTAATCTTTCCTATGTTTCTCCACGTTGCACCAGTCTTGCACCGTCATAAAGCAACAGTCTCCCGCGCGACCCAATAAATAACTAATCGATTTATCGTTTCTCACGCCGCAGAAGATTTCCAATATTTTTTGGCAATACAATACCTCCAGCATGTATCTCAAGGAGACGCCGTAATTTTTATTCACGTATTCGTTCTCGGCGAGCACAGCGAATATCAAGGACGCTTTCTCGTATAATAATGTTTTCAAATGAGCGCTCCAACAAATGTTGTCGCTCTTTTTCGGCGCTTGCCACGTCGGCAGCGTTTCCGTCTTCGGTTTACACAACAAAGCGTTCACGTTCGCTACTTCCTTCGTAATGCTCTTTTCGCTTTTCTTCTTCCTCTGTTTGTTTTTCTTTTTATGCGCGGGACTGTGGTTCTCCGAAGTTTTTTCTTCGGACGTGGCATTCTTCTCTTGTTGATTTAATGGAGCGTAAGGCATGGGAATCGCTTGGAAGGGTTTCGCTACATTAGGATGCATCTCCTCGTATTTCCTCTTCTCTTTCTCATATTCTTCTTCCGCTTTCTTCTGCTCCTCGTCGTTGCTGTCGTCGGTCGGAAAATACTGAAGACAATCGAGCCCGTGCATAACGTGTTCTAATCCAGACAGGCATCTCTCTTCTAAAGTACCGGACATTGGAGGTGCCTTGTACTTTGGCTGCTCACGTTCCGTTTGCTCTTTCACTACAAAAAAAAAACGATTAATATTATAACTTTCACGTAAAATTTAAAATAATAGAAGTGAAATCACAAGCCTACTTACTGTTGGCTAAAGTCAAAGACTTAATTGCGCAAGTTTCTTCCTCTTCCTCCTCTTTTTCGTTTTCTTGACCCGTATCACATTCACTGTTAACATCCTCCTCGTCGCTTTGATCCCTTAATCCTGGACTGGCTGGATCTGTATCCGACGGTATATACAAGTCCGAAAGCATAAAATGCGCGGATGTAACAATTTGCGGATATTTCTCTTTGGCCAGCAATTGAACGCAATTTTTCAGCAGCATCCTGATCGTACCCTGATAACGATGGCAATCGGAGGAATATTTCATGTTGCGAGCTACTCTGTATAACAACATTGCAACGGGCACTGTAAAGGGATTTTGTCCCTTCTCCTCCGAAACATCGTTGCACAATGATGTCAAATCATATAGTTTCACAACATCGTCGTCCTTACCTGGACGAAGAAATATATTGCATGTGAATGAAATATTTTTAGGTTAACGTAAAAATTTCAATTTACACTTTCTGTATATAAAGTAAAACTTACCCTTAAATAACCAATAGGTGTGACCAGCCTTTGTCACGTTATTCTTTAAGAAACTTAAGATGTTCTGAGCAACATCTCGAACTACTTTAGGACTAAATTTCGAATTATCCAAATTTGGAAGATCTTCCGTCTTTATCAGTTCATATTTCTGTACAATGCCACTTAAATGGTAACACATCACTACTTCCGGTACGTTGCACATTAAATTGTCTAACCAGTAGTCTATTCCTGTTAGGACATTGATAGGCTCTGTCATATCTCTCAGTCGCAGACTTATGCACGGATGTGTCTGACCGCCGAATATCGGCATGTCCGTTCCAACGAGCATCTGTATATTCTCAAATGTCCATACGACATTCCTCGCGAAATTATGATTGTAATTCGGATCAGGTACTTTCTCCTCTTGCGTCGGCTCAGGTAAACACGGCTCCAACGGTTTCACAGGTAACTGAGGTTTCTCGCTCTGCTTGTTTTTATCCGCCAGCACTATAGAACGATACAAAAATTTCGACACCAGGTTCCTCTTCTGCAAACTATTTCTACTGTACGCCTTATGAGAAAGACGCTTCTCCTTGTCGCCGAGACTTTCAAAGATGTTCTCGTAGAAGAACTTTTTCAGCCATTCCCAATCGCTCTCGGCTTGCCTCAGCAGATATTTGTGTATGTCAAAGTCGTCCAGCAACAATGTGTTTTCGATGCGATGCACCATCATCGAAATCACGCCGTTATTGTAAGGCAGCTTGAGTAACTTCTTTATATTCTCGGCATCTGACACCACGTCCACTTCACCGACGCAATCGGGAAACATGTGGGCCATGCGAAAGCTGGAGAATCCTGTGCTCTGAGACCAAACATTTTGCAGACCGTAACTCTCCGCCGAGCTACTGAGCCAGTTACTGGGCGGATGATTCAAGTCAGTGTTGCATTGTAATTGAGCGTACGTCACTGGTGTTTGAACAGCAGAATATTTCACTACTGCGGTTGATTTCACAGGTTTCTTTGGGGAATCTGGCGGTATAGCTACAGCCATCGATTTCATCTGTAACATACATAAAATCAATTCTTAATTCCACATCTTATAAAGTTTGTTAAAAATCAGAACATCAACTTATTTTATTAGATTAAATTAAAAGAAAATATGAAAACAATGAATTATATTGAAGATCATCTTCACATATGTATCGGATTACAATAACAATATTAATATAACTTTCATGCATAAGAGTATATATTTATTTGTGATCGAATAAAGTTTTACATCAAAACATTGATAACATTGGCAATTTGAAATAATGACTTACCTCAACAATGTCGCTATCTGAATTTTTCGACATCTTCGTACACCGTTACATGTGACTACAAAATATTCACTGTGTCCGAAAATTTCTAGGACGGAGTATATAATCCACAGAAAAGGTTGACAGTAAATATATATGTCCTCCAGTGTGTCCACACCGCAGTCCGCACACGTTTTATTGTTAGATGGAAGCCATCTGCGTTTAGTAGCGCCTCTATGTATATAAAATGTACTTTGCGTATTGCTTTGTCGATAACTTAATCTCTGAAGTATCAGTTTCCTATTTTATCAAACGTATATGTATATCTTGCGTATTAGTATTATCGATATCTTAATAATTTTTGAAAAATTAGTTTTTTATAATATTCTCTCTCTCTCTCTCTCTCGCACACACACAAATCGAGATTATTTATATTTTAGAATAGTAAAAAAATTTTATTTAAATCTGATAATTTTTAAATTTCCAATTTAAACTGTTTATAATTAGTTTTACGTAAAATGAGATAAAGACAAAATTAAATAAAATACCCGGGAAAAAAGTTCCACATATAATTATATATAATTATTTGCAAAATATGTCCATATACATACATATATCCATATATGTTTCTTTCCTTTGTAAAATAATTCTTTAATACAAAAAATGATAATATATATATATTATAATAAAAAGGAAACATAAAAAATAATTAAAAGGATAATTTTTACATTGTTTTTTTTACAAAAAATCAAGTTTGAATAAATGAGAAAAATTGTTCATATATAATCATATATAAATGATTAAAAATATACATATATATATATATATATATATAATTATATATGAACAATTTTTTCTCATTTTTTAAAACTTGAATTTTTGCAAAAAAAATGCAAAAATTATCCTTTTAATTATTTTTTATATTTTCTTTTTATTATTATCATTTTTCTTGTATCAAACAATAATTTTACAAAGAAATGAAATATATGGATACATGGACATATTTTGTATATAATTATATGTGGGACTTTTTTCTCGGGTATAATAGTATATTCATGACATAAAAATAATTAATTAAAAAGATATGGGTATATATATAATTTTCAATGAGAAGATTTATTTCTATATTTATTTATTATATCCCTTTTTTGCAATATTGTTTGCAATGTCTGTTATTAATAAATTTTATTTTATATTAAAATTAAAGTTTTTCTAAGGTTTTCTACTTAATTTTTTTCTACTTAATTTAAGATAATTAAAGATTTTCTAGATTTTCTATATAAATACCTTTGTATTACATTTGTTTCTTTTTATTTTTTTTAATAGAAAATTAAATTGAAGTAATTTATTTTGAATTTTATGTGTAAGTTTAATCTTGTAAATAATAATGATTTTCTTCATTTTTTAAAATAAGGTCAAAGAAATGTCTTTCAATCAAACAGATAATTTAATTCTTATAGTAAACAAGTTCGGTGAAAGAGAAAACATATATTGCTAAGATACCTTCGACGTCGAAGCGAAGCCCAAGAAACTCGTAGATCAATCGAGCAAGTCAAAGTCACAAAGTTACGTTATCGTTGTCTTAAACAACATTATGCAAGAACATGCTCATGTACAATGTGCTGATTAAATCATCTTGTTCTTCTTTCTTTCTCTTCCTTTTTTTGCAACGCGATAATGCGTTCAAAATTAAATTTTTTATAAGCAAAAAAATTAGCAAAACGTTATATAAGTAAGACATCAAATATCTATAAAAAAAAATGTCGCAAAAAACTGTCGCGTGAGTGGAACCTAAACGCCTCATCCGCTTCGCTAAACGCCTTAGGAATCCCTAGAAGTCTATCATACGTCACCGTGTATCCCCGGTATATAAAGTCCCCGAACCGGGGCTCGTGTAATCTACTTGTTTTCTCCGAACGGAAGAGACAAAAGGCGTTTTCACCATGGTGGCAAATTTCAAGGTCTACAAAAAATGCTCGCCCAACGGCAAGCTCGCCGTCTACCTGGGCAAACGCGACTTCATCGACTATTTGTCGGGCACCGAGCCGATTGATGGCGTAGTCCTGGTCAGTCCGGAATACGTGGACAGCAGCAGGAAGGTGTGGTGCCAGCTGTTGTGCAGCTTCCGGTACGGCCGCGAGGAGGACGAGGTGATGGGCCTCAATTTCCAGAAGGATCTCTTCCTGGCGTCGGAGCAGGTCTTCCCGCAAATTAAGAAGCCCGAGTCCAATCCTACCAAGATGCAGGACAGGTCAGGAATATTAGGAATATTGGACGATATTTAGACTCAGAGGCATGAAATACGATGGATCTTGTATTCATTGTATGTTAAAAATTAAGCAGAATTAATCTATATTTAACAACGTCTAAAAACATTTCATTGATTTAATATTTCAAAATTGATTTTAATTTTGTGTTATGTTTTTTCACTCTTTTTTTTTTAATTTCACGTTGTTCTCGAAAATTTCCAGATGCTAAATAGGCGATAAAGCTATCTTTTTAACGCTCGACAAGCAAAATTAACTCGTCGACTGTAAATAGATTAAGAATCGGAATATGTCTCTCTGGAACAGGTTGCTGAAGAAACTGGGTTCGAACGCGATACCCTTTACCTTCACGTTCCCGCAGAGCGCGCCGTCCAGTGTGACTCTTCAACCCGGACCCGACGAGACCGGCGACCCGTGCGGCGTGAGTTACTACATAAAGGTGTATTGCGGCGACACGGAGACCGACGTGACCCATAAGCGCAGCACCGTCCTGATGGGCATCCGCAAGATTCAGTACACGCCCACGACGCAAGGCCGTCAGCCGTGCACCGTGGTGCGCAAGGACTTCATGATGAGTCCGGGCGAGCTCGAGCTCGAGGTTACCCTGGACAAGCAGCTGTACCATCACGGCGAGACGATCGCCATCAACGTATGCGTGCGTAACAACAGCAACAAGATGGTGAAGAAGATCAAGGCGCTGGTGCAGCAGGGCATCGACGTGGTAATTTTCCAGAACGGTCAATTCCGGACGGTGATAGACTCGATTGAGACGCAGGACGGCTGCCCGATCAATCCCGGCTCGAATCTGCAGAAGGTGCTCTATCTGAAGCCCAGCCTGGAGAACAACAAGCAGCGTCGCGGCATCGCCCTCGACGGCATAATGAAGCGGGACGAAAGCGACCTCGCGTCCAGCACTCTGCTCACCTCGCCGGACGTGCGCGACTCCTTCGGCATCGTCGTATCCTACGCCGTCAAGGTCAAGCTTTATCTCGGCGCCCTGGGTGGCGAATTGACGGCCGAGCTGCCGTTCATTCTGATGAGATCCAAGTCGTCCGATCGGGTCAAACTGGTCCCGACGGACAGCGTGCTGATCGAGGACATCCCGCACGAGAAGGTCGACGAGAAAGTCGGCTTCTAGATTAACATTTCAACATGTCCTGTGGGACCATTGCTCGAGTCACCGCTTCGACCGCTTCTCGCGCCCAACTTTCTAATTAGCATATCGAGCGGGCACGAGAACGGTGCTGACATCCAAAAGGCGTCTAAAGGGCGTCTTAATGCGTCAGACGTTTTTCTTTAGTTATCCTCTATAACTCATCTGAACTACAGTATTGTTAAATCGGTATCTTTTATCATAAATACATCACAGCTGATATAAATGACGTTAATTTATGCAAAATTAATATTATACATGAAAAGTCATGCAGTTCTGATATGTACATGAATTGTATAAAAAAAAGTATCAGATTAATTAGTTCTGTTGATATTTTCGACGAATATGTTTAATTTATTTATATAATCTAGCTAATTTATATAACCAACCTATCCTGCATTAATAATTTATTGATCGTTTTGATATGAATGTGAATTGTAATGAATATTCGGCTATATACATACATGTAATTAAATTCTTCAATCTCTATCGAAGCTCGCAATTGAATATTTGCATCAGGGTGTCAATTCTTTCAAAATACACCCCCAAATTTAACTGTACGATTGCGCATCGTGCAGAACAATTATTACAAAATGTATATACTTTACAAGATCAATAAAAGATAAAACGTTTGTTTTTCGGTTAGGCTTTCGTCGCGTGTGCGTGCCATCAGCCTCGAGAAGAACTACAGTTTTAGAATACTGCAGGCCCTCCCCCCCCCCCGCTCTGACGCTTATTCGCTAATTAAACCTGCCTGCGCCTCTCAAATTCCGTCGTATCAGGATCAAGCGGGATGTGTCGGGATACTCGTTGGGCACAGAACGCACATTTTGGGTCCAGAACGAGGGACCGCTCGCGTGCGACCCGTCACATACGGGGTGTCACTCTGACTCTCGACTATCTGCGAAGGAGGTGTCCGTGGTGAAGGACACGGACGGCTGTGGACGAAGGAAAACCACCCGATACGTGCGATGGGTGTTGGATGGAGCGGCGAGGGGACAGGGGGGGGAGGAGGGGCAGACGTGGATAACACCGCGATTGGTGTGAGAGAAAGACGCAGCGATAGTACGGTGGTAGTTAAGGACGAGGACAGAAAGAGGGGAGAAAGAGAGAGGGAGGAAGAAAGAAAGAGCGAGAGCGAAGGGGTCGACCGCGGCGGTGGCGGCGGTACCGCGGTTCCAAGCTTGGAGCCGAGTGTCAGTCAGGCTCGAGACACCCGCGCGAACGGAGCGAGAGAGCGAGGTGGTGACTCGGCTGGATTTACCTCCCCTTCTTCGTACGTTCTTCGCGGATGCGACCCCCTCTCCGGCGCCCTACACCCACTCAGGCGAGATAGTAATCTCCCGGTCTGTCACGGAGCAGTGTCGCGCGGAGTGTCACACGGGATAGGATACACGCACAGAGGAGATCGGCTCTCGCCGGTGTCATCCGGATAACGTTGCTCGTTATCACACCCTGTAGCACGCGCCGCACCTCGGCCCCGTGCCACTCGAGCGACATCGGTACCGGCGACGACGCGCGAGGAAGGATCGCCACGACGACGACGACGAGGTTGTTGTGAGCTACTCCGAAGGCCGAGTGTGTAAGTACACCTATATCATATATACATGGGTCTACCTGACCCTTTTCTCCTAAAAAAAAAAAAGAAAAAATACGAGGTCGCCTCGCAAGGTTCTTTGATTATCCGCTCCGTTTCTCGCCGCGACCGCCGCTTCCTCCGCGAGGAGAGGAGGCCTCCGTGCCGAGCCCTCGCGTGGAAACCTCCTCTCGTAGCCCCAGACGTCGGCATCGATTTCCTCGTGCCCCGCCATCGCCGCCGCCACCGCCGCCGCCACCGCCGCCGCCGTCGACAACAACGAGCCCTCGCCCTTCCAGCGGCCGCACGCATGCCGGCTCTCTCTTTCTCTCTCTCGCGATCCCTCTCTCTCTCTCTCTCTCTCTCTCTCTCTCTCTCTTTCTCTCTCTCCCTCATCTCACGGTCGACACGAATTCGCGAGACTCCGACCTCTCCTTCGAGTATCTTTCAAGGTGTCACTCGGCGGGGGCGAGACGCGGTGGCGTGTCCGACGAATACTATTGACCCAACCGGTGAACGGTATATTCAAGGACAAGGGTGTCAAATTTTCGGAGCGATTCGCCGAAAAGGGAGTAAGGGGGTAAGTTCACGTTGGGTGTCTTCTCGAGGGGAAATTTGTCACGCCCATGCATGTTTCGACCTTGGCGCTCGAGCGCGAATTCGAATTCGTCTACAGTAGAAGTTACGTTAACTCTTTAAATGCCGATAAATGTAATCTACATACGAAAAGAGACTGCGTCGCTTTAACAGACAGACGTGCACAAGTGTTTGTAATGTTTTAAACTTTCGTTGAATGTATATGCGCATAGGAGTTAAAGGGTTAAGTGATCATATGAAAGGGAGAATCGGGCAGCCGCAGCTGATACTTTGCTAAATAGAGCAGAAGAGAGTGTACGATGATACTCTCTTTAACCTCGAGGAAAGTTTTGTCAGAGTTATTTAAGAACAAGAGCAGTTCGTCAGATGATACAGTTCTTTTAATTTCAACTTTGGATTATGCAACAATGCGCCACTTTACTTGCGACTTTAGTTGCATTCCCTTTAAAACACGTCTGTTATATGAGTATCCGATATCGATTGTTGTAACATTTTAATATTTATAGTTGCTCTATATAAAATAAAAATACGACAGTTATTATTATATTAAAACGAGAGCATATAAAAGACCATATATGCAAACTAATCTCGAGTTTCAATAGTGAGATTATGTTTTTTTATTTACTTTGATAAAATGGAGGAGAGTATACATGCCGCGTAGAATGATTGTTATCCGCGTATTGGCTTTCGATTTTGCCATCGCCGATAACGACAAGTTTGGCAAAACAATCGAATAAAAGTAAGGGGAAGCTTCGGTAATTACTCGCGAGTGAATTCCCGAGAGATTCGCCTGAACGACGAAATGTGTAGCGCGTGACAGGAGTTAGCGGGGCAAAGTACGGACTCGTATAGGTATACCATGTGCTGTCGAAGCGGATTCCGCGTCGGGTGATTAATATGGCACTGTTTGTAAATACAGTGGCGCGAATGGAAAAACTAGCCGCGTGTAGCGTGCGCGGGATATTATACGAGTAGAAACTCTCAGGAGGAAGTGCTCTTTCTCCTGCCCCGGCACGATACACCCCGGTTGTTTATGGCGCTGTAACAGCGTGAGTACTTGTACACGAAAACACATTTCGAGGAGAAACACAGCTCGGGAATTCTGTTAGGCCCTCCTACCCGGCCGAAAGGTGTCTTTGGAGCGACGTTACTTCGTATATATAAAATGCTTTAAAGTTAATTTCTCCCGTTATCGGAGAGATTTCTCCGTGTACCGAAGAAGTTTGAGATGATACAGTAATCCTTCGAATGAAATTTTCGTTAAGGAAAAAGTTCCGGCAAAGTCTTCGGATCGATTAAATAATCTTACGCTCGACTTTAAAGCGCCGCGAGCGAGTGTTCTTTTTTTTTTAAAGGAAGTGCTTTTAAAAGTTTCTAACGCAAAGGATATACCATTATCTCAATTTTTAATTATACAGTACACAGAGTAATATACACATTGTAAATATATTATCCCATACGCGCTGCAATTAAGATAGCGATCGTGGGCTTGATATAACGGGACGTGAGCAGGGAGTCAATCGCAACGGGCTATACAAATAATAAAATGCCTCGGTACACACCGCCGGAAGAACACGTACAAATCGATTTCCGTAATGAACGGCTTGGCGATCGCCAATTTTTCCTCGTTATCGGGTGTCTTTACATTTTATCGCACACCATTTTCCACGCCTTGGAGAATCGCACTCGGGCGCATTGCTCCGGTTCGACCAGTCGCGAGCTGCGCAGTATCATCGTCTTCCGTTCCAGTCCCATAGATCCGTTAATTATCTCGTCTTGCTGAATAAAATATGTCCCCGCGAGTCTCGGCGCCCCGGTGTAACTTGTCTTTCTCGTGAAATTAGATATCTCTCGCCGACACACCACGCGAATCCTCGAGTCGTTTAAATCCCGGAATCCGTCTAGCGGAACATCAAATTATCGGATTGATACGTGAAGCGGTCTGAGCATAAAGTTTTTTTTTCAGAATCTGCTACATATTTTTATACGCCGTCTTTTAATTAAATTAAAATTTTTCGAGCAAAGCTCATCGTGCTTGCGAGGAGTCGCGTGAAAAAAAAGATATAAACTTTTTCTCGAGCGGCGCGGAAAGGATCCGACGCCGAAAGAAATTCATTCTGAATTAGCATCGTTTCGCTTCCTTCGACCGTCGATCGATCGGAAACTCTCGCACGAAGCCGCGCGCGAGCACGAGCGCGACCTCGTCGAAAGCGAGTCACCTTTATCGCCGTCCCAGTTACTCACGTACGGCTTCTCCCGCGTCGCGATGCGATCGGGGATCGCCCCCGAAGTCTCCTCTCGACGGACGTGATTTACATACGGTCGTCCGGCGGTCGTAAAATAACGACCTGCCCTGTCGTCTTGCACCCGGCACCGTCGCCTTTCCTCCGTCGAGATTCATCCGCGAATAAGCCCGGATCTTTGACGTCGATCGTCCCCAAACTTCTAGCGAACGACGAAGCCAGAGATCGGTGCGTTAAAAATTTCACGTGTACGAAACATTAATTTCTCTTCGCTGTTCTCACTTTCTTCTTTTATTTAACGAACTTGTTTGCGTGTAAGAGCCGGCCACGCATCTGCTTTACATCTTGTTAATAAGATGCTGCTTTAATTCTTGATTGCATTACCTTTTAATGAATTTTGCAAAATATTCAATAACTGAAGAATGATTTCGATAATTTTAAATGAAGAAAAATAGTCTTTTAAATTTTCTCTAAAAATTATCCGAAAGAACAAATTCGATTAAAGGTATTTGAAGAATACCTAAAGAAGAGAGTATATTGCAAGGTCTCAGAAAATCTTCTTACGCGTTCAAGGATTAAATCCAAGAAATTTCTAGAGAGGGTCGTCGTATCGTAATAGTATTATGTACGCGTGCGTTATTTTACATATTTTTTTATATACACATCTTATTATATATATATATATATATATATATATATATATATATACATCATGTGACGACCTTGCCGGCGACCCTTTACCTCGCGGTGAAATTCGCTTACGGTTACTGCGCGTGCTGAAAACGTGCGCTCCGTTCTCGGCGAAGCCAACGCCGATCGGTCGGTCGGTCGGTCGTCCGGTCCTATCGTATGCACGCGCGGGTTCGCCTCGTGTGCTTCTCTCTTTTGCGAGAGTCCGGTGTCTTGCCTACCTACCTACCTACCTACGAGGATTCGCGCCGCGCCGGGATGCCGTCGCCGAACGTGACCGATCGGAAACGGTGCGGTCCACGTACGGAATCCTTGACGCGCCGAGTCGCTATTTCCAAGCCATCAGAGGCAGCTGGAATCCCGCACGCTGCATTCCGGCCGCAAGCCGGCTCGCCGCTTTCTGAATACGGTTAATCCTTTCCGGATTCTGACCAACGCGTCGCGTCACGTCCGGAAGAGAGATATGTTTTGATCTTGGCTTAAATTTAGAACGAACTAAACGGTATAGAGTCAGACGATTCGTCGA